TTTGAAGACCCACCTTTCCCATCAGTGCCTGAGGCAAATTATGCCTTCTCCATAGGTGGGTGGCCAACTTCTTCTGGAAGGCTTTCATGGAAACCTTGTCTTAACACGACCCAATAGTCCTGGTGTTCACATAAGAGGGGGAGCCATGGGCAGGTAGGTGGAGGGTTCCTGCCATCATAGGAAGCAGTCACCATCGTGTAACGGAGAGATGAGGAGGGCTTGAATTACGGCAAAGGCCGTGCAATGGAGTGGACGTGGAATTACTAGTAGAAGAGTAGGTCAGATATGAGCCACAGCCAGCAGACCAGATTTCACCATTGGGCGGGGGTGGGGGTAGGGGGGGGTGGGGAAGCGGGATGAAGGAGTCACTAGTGGCCACCAGCAGTTTAACTTCGGTACCTGGGGGATGGGGAGGCATTTGCTGCCTTGGGGGCCCAGGGGGAGTTAAGAAAAGTGACTTTGGTTCAGTATCTTCTGACTCTGGGATGCCTGTGAGACATCTGAGAGAGGACGTCTCAGCTGCCGCCTGACTTTTCATTTTCTTTCGTTCTGCTTGCAAAATCAGAGAGAAGCAACATAGTGGCAGGGGCTGTTGCTTCCCCTTTGCTCTGAGGCCGGGTTCTCTCCAGCCCCTTGCCCTCAGGCGAGAGAGAAGCCAGCAGCACCGTCTGCTGGGGGCTGCAGGGCCGGCTCTCAACGCAGCGGGGCCCTTCAGATGTTCCGCAACTGACAATCCCAGGTCTACCGCCTGCCGGCACCTGTTCTCTGAGACAGGGCATCACAGGCTCTTCCGACTGGAAGGGACGTTAGAGGTCACCATTCCAGCCTCGGGTTGGCGTTTTCAGAGCGTTCTAATAATTCGGGAGTTCCTCCGTTTAGTCACGCGAAGACTGTTTCTTCTGACTCCGCTGAACATGCTGGTAGAGGCAGGGTCCCCCCGCGGGCCTCCTTCCTAAGGAGGCGCATGTGGGACTCCTGTTCGTGGATCTCGCAGCGAGGGCCACGACCCGGCGGTTTGGGAAAACACGTTCTTTGTGTCCTTCACCGCACAGCTACGAGAATGGTCTCCATGGTTACGGCCGCTTCCTAGAGGTGTCTATAGATTTTCATTTGCTATATTTCCCTAAATGTCTAATTTATGAATAATCTGTTTAGAAAGCCTGCTGGAAAGTTTCTGCATGTATATGACTATCAAGAAATATATATTTATATATTCAAATAAAAAAATACGGCGAGAGGCATTTTGGGTAGAGACTTTTTTTCTCTCCCACTAAAAACAGAAATTCGGACTGACTTAAAAAATTTCAAGTTAAACAAGATTCAATGAAAGAAACACTGCCTTCATGTTCTTCAAAGGCATGTGAGCCAGAGAGGGGCGGGAGCTAACCTAATTATGTTTTCTTTAATGTGAAGTAGCTATTTGCCTGACATGCCGTTTGCATCTCACCACCACATTCAAATGGCTGGGACATTGATTTTCCCCCTCCCATCCCTCGGGCTTCCTTTGAACATGAAAGTGTTTCTTCCTCTGTGTGTGTGTGTGTTTTCCCTTCTCGTGAGAGCAGTGATAAGAATGGATCGATAATTACATTGTTGGATAAAAATGAATATAAATTTTATTGAAAAACAACACCAGCAACAATGTGGGAAAAGCATACTCAACAGCCACCGGCCCACACAACTCGATGCACGCATAATGAAGAGTCATCACGTCGGAAAGATGTCCAACTAGTCATTCCAAAGGAAAAGAAATGACAGGCCTCAGGTCACCTGACGGGACACACCGCTGGCCCTGTGCTGGCTGCAGGCGGTCAGGGGGGACCGGATTGGAGACAGCCTGGTCCTCGCCGTTAGCGTGGCTTCTAACACGTTTCCACGTCCCACGCCCTTTGAGAAGAGGATTTCACAGACTCTCTCGGCAACTTGTCCCTCCTGCTTAACAACAGGAAACAGTTCTTTATGTCTAGCCTAAATCCTTCATGCTCCAGTTCATCTATTTATTTCCCTTTAATCTCAGCAGGCTGTGTGTGGAGTCTGTCCTGGTGGGACAATGTAACGTATGGGGAACTCACAAGGATCAGAATCAGACTGAAAACGGAGCCCAGCTGTGCCGGAGCCGCTTCCCAAACAAGCTGAAAAGAAGTTAATTGCCTTCGCGGGTGTAGCCCATTTGCTCCTGCTCCCTCCCCTCCCTCCCTCCCCAACCCAGAACCCACCGCACCTTTCCGCCTGCAGCCTGAGGGCTGGCCATCCGGGACTTGCCAGCCAAAGCTCTCTGAGTTTGATCGGCTTCGGTCCTTCAATGGCATAGCAATGAGTGTGGTCAAAGCTGTCCCATCCTGTCCCACGTGCAGTGTTTCTGTTTCGGGGATTTCCCCCGAATCCTATTATAGTCCGTGTCTTCTCGCCAGGCAGTCCCCCAGGCTCGCTTCACAGCTTGTGCGTGGCAAAAGTGTGCTCGGTGTGCACACGAGAAAGCACTGAGAAGCCACGAGAGAGCACCAAGTGAATTTAACACAAACATCTCAGCAGCACTTAACAAATTCTGCGGAAAAACCCTGGCGAGAGGGTCAGCCTCGCGGAGGTGTGCAGCGACGACAGTTCTGCACGTTGGGCACCAGGGGGCGCCCGTGCCATTCCACCGGCCGCGGGGACTCAAAGCCGGGGAAACAAAGACGGGGATTTGAATAAAAGACTTCAAAAAATGCAACCCCAAATTCCAGCCTGAGCAGCATGCGTGTAAAAATTCATGAATATGGGATTTCATTTCATGTATTTTTACTTCGGTGGAAAAGAAATGCAGGTGATTTTCTGGCTGTGTCGACAGCTGTCTTTACAACGGGGGTGCCTGGTTAAATGAGGAGGGAAGGGCACGCGGAAGCCCCGCAGGCACTTTGAGAGGCTGGGCCTCCGTCTCTGGACAGCTCCAGTTTTGCTGGGTGGCATCCTCTGCATGGACCAGAATATATTGATTAGGTGTATTGCTTTTAAAGAGATGCGTGTCTTTCTCGGCAGGAGGCGGCCCGCTCTGGGTCCAGTGAATGACAGGAGTCATGGAAGGCACTTATTATTTTGATGAAACAGCACATTCCTTTCAGCCCATAAAATCAAAGGTGTGAGAAAAGGCTGTTTTGAGGGTGTAAGCACTCCCCTTGCTTCCCTGTGGTGGAGCACAGCGGTTCCTTCTCCCGGGCCTTTGTGTGTTCTCCAGGCGAGTGACATGGTGCTGAATGCCTGGGTGGCAGAGCCTGCCAGAAGGCACTGGACGCAGGCCAGGGTCGCTCAGCCCCCCCGTGGGGGTACTCCCCTCGTGTCCCAGGGCCGCCAGCCTGGTGGGGGATGACGGAACTTCAGACAGGTCTGGGTGAGGAGGCTGCTGCCACCCACCCTGAGCTCTGGGATGAGGGGCAGGGCCCCCTTTGTTTCCTCTGTAGCCCCAGCATGTAGCACAGTGCCTGGTGCTTATTAAATACCCCCACAAACATGGGTGGAATACTACACTAATGTGAGGATGAAGGCAGAGGAGGCTGAGGGTCCCTGGCTGACCCTGGCTGTAGCTGAGCCTGGGGGCAGTTGGAGCAGCAGTGGGGGGAGGAAGTGCTGGGCAGTGCTGGCTCTCAGGGGTGGGGGCGCTGAGATAGGCAGAGGCCACAGAGCTGGAGAAGCCAGGAGGTCAGCAGGGGCCACCTGGAGAGTCTCTGTGTGTCGGATGGTGTTGCATCAGCCATGCAGGGCATTCTCCATCCTTCTCTCTCCCCTGCCCCTGCAGGAGCCGGCCTTTCCACTGTTGCCATGGCAACGCCTGCCAGAGGTGCTGCTGAGGGCCAGCTGGACAGTCTCGGACCTGAGTAAGCAAGAGACTCCAAACTGTTCCCATGGAAGGTGGGATCCCGAGGGTCTCTCTTGTCAGAGAAAGGGAGGGAGATGGGATAGGGATGAGCACAAAAACTGCTCCCAGGGCAGGCTGAGGCCCCCCCAGCTGTGGCTTTGCTGGCGGGGACTTCTGGGGCCTGCAGAGCCCTAGTATCTGGGAGCCTCCTTGGCATTGCAGGGTTGCACTCCTCCCTCGCCTGGCCTCCCGCCCAGGTCTGTGTTTAGGGTTATCCACAAGGCTCCCCAGGGGCCTGCAGGCCTCTTGAGGCTCCCTGTGCAGGGTGCAGGCTCAGAGAGGGCCTGGAAGGGCACCCCCAACTGATCCAAGGGTCTGGCAGGCTCCTCTGGGAGCACAGAGCCGGAGGTCTCGGCCCTCGCTTCAGCACTGAGCTGTGGATGTCAGAGTTGCCTTTGGCAAAGATCTGCCAGGATACCCAAGAGTGGGCACTGGCTTCTCTCTGTTTCAGTCTCATCACATCTCTGTTGCTACATTTCCAGTGTACACAGGGGTGGTGGGGGCCACCAGCCTCCAGCCAGTTGGGGGAGCTCCCATCCTCTTCACACCTTTCCCCCCTGGGCTCTCGAAAAGCAAGAAGCACCTAATGAAGAGGCAGCAGGAATTCGGAAGATGGTCAGGTCTGGGGAACAAATGATAGTCCGACCTGGGATCCAGGAGTGAGTGAGAAACACTGTGACGCTACTGGGAAGGGGATTGAAGGTGACTCAGCCTTGCAAATCACGTCCCTCTGGGGCCCAACAGAGCATGAATTCTCTCCCCAGCACGTGAAGAGCTCCCAGCCTGGCCAACACCCCTGCTTCCCCACATCAGCCCTACAACAACGACAACAGCATGAACACGAGAAGGGGCACTGGGCAGTGGTGTACAGTTTACAATACCGTGGATTTACATAGCACCTTTTTCTTCTAAGCGGCCTTTGCCTCTGTCCCCTCGGCCATCGCCACCACTGAGCGAAGCCCTCAGAACACAAACATCACAGCTCCGGCAGGCAGCAGGGCGGGGAGGCGGAGGCAGAGGCCTGGGAGTGATTCCATGCAGACTCAGTGGTGTCCGGGGCTCTCTGCACTTCCCTGGGGCCCTCCCTGGCGGGGTAACAGGGCCCGGGCCCTCACTGGTCGTTCACTTTATATTTCAGGATGTAGGAATAGAAGTTGTGGTTGGCGTTCTCCAGCACCATGACGTAGACTTCCTGGCAGCCGGCCGTGCTGCAGCTGCCCTCCCAGTAGCCCTCGCTGTTCAGGGTCAGGGGCCACGTGTCCTGCCCCTTCACCAGGGCTTTGGCGACACCGTGCAGCTTCAACTTGAAGGGGACGTTGCGGTTGGCGGGAAGCACACCCGACAGAGGCTCCAGCAGCTCGTTGTCCTGCCCCCAGTTACCAAAGCTCTCGGGGAACATGGGCCAGTTCACCTTGGTGTTGGAACAGCACAGGAGATAATTGAAGACAAAGGCATAGTTGCCCGGCTCCTGCCTCTTCTTGACGAAGATCTTGAGGGCAAACTTGCCAGCGCGGGGCAGCTGGACTTTCAGCTCTGTCCGCTTCTCCCGGTGCAGCTGGAAGATGTAGCGCCGCTGCGTCTCCTCGGTGATGGGGCCGTCGTCCCCGTGCAGGGAAGCCAGGACGCTGATGCCCTCCTCCACGCCGAAGCTGACGGAGCAGCGCCCGTCGCTGGTGTGGATGATGGGGTCAGGGTGGGAGGGCTTCCGGATGCCCATCTGCTCCGAGAACCAGCTGGGGCCCACGGGCTGGTGCAGCTCCGACGGCAGCCGCACCCCCACGTCCACGTAGTTACACTTGAGCGTGTACTCCAGCACGGAGCTGTAGATGTCGGAGTTGCCTTTGGCAAAGATCTGCAGCTTGTGGGTGCCCATGGTGGGAGGGTAGACATCCAGCTTCATCCCGTTCTGCTGGAGTCTCAGCAGCCCGTGCTCCTGCTTGCCATTGAGCATGAACATGAACAGGGTCGGGGCACAGCTCTCCACGGTGATTGTGGCCTTCCCGTTCACTGTGGAGGGAAAGCCAAGGCCGGGTGAGATGCGTTCAGCCTGTGATGATGTGCTGGTAAATGGTTAACAGCTGGCTCTCTGGATGCAAAACCCTGACTTGTAGTGTTTGCCCCTTTCCGTGGTGTAAATACTTTCACCATGATTGATTTTAAGTGTCCAATGTGATGTCCCCAAACATGACATAAGCCAACTGCAGCACACCCCGGGGAGGGTCCCCCTAACTGCTTTAGGTGGTTCTCTTTGAGGGAGTTGAAAGCTGGGGTCTCAAGAAAACAATCGGCCCCCAGCTGTCTGTGCTCTCCGCACTCATCTGATTCACCTTATGAAAGCTGCATGGAGGCCCAGCCTGATTCCAGAGCAGGGAGGGGCCCAGGAGTGAGGAGGGCCCGGGCCCTGGCTGCAGAGCCACCCTGGACCATCTCCTCCCAGTCCTGAGCCTTGCTTTCACACCGCTCCCTCCAGCATCTGCTTATTACAGTGACAACAGCTGTCACGTCAACACATCACCTTAAAAATGGTTTGGAATGGCTTCACTCCTGCGGACTGTGCTCAAAGGGTGGGGCTGCTTCCTTGCTCCACCCGCCTCTGCCTCATGCTTCCTCATGGGCGTGTCCTAGCCATGTTTGTGGAGTGAAGATCCAGTGGGTGCACGGGCGGGTCTTTGGCCTCAGCCCTCCCTCTGCCTCTCCCCTTACCCTCTCAGGTACTGCCAACTCCTCACCCACCTTACACCCCCAAACCCCTCCCCACGGCAGGTCCCCTCTACTCGTTTGGCTCTGAAATCTGGCCTTTGTCTCCATTCTCCAAAGTCTTCAGTGGCCTTCTTGGAGAACCCAGGCTGCAGGCCACACCCTTTCCTCCCCTTGGGCCGCCACCCTCTCCAGCTTGGCCCCTCTTTCCATTCCTCTGACTGCCGACTGCTATCATTCCTTCCCTTTCCATTGCACTAACTGTGGGGTTCTTTGTGCTTTCTGCTGTTTTCTTTTTCTACACTCTTTGTCTACGGCCTTCAGAACCTATGGGACACCTGTCTCAAGATCACCTCCCAAGAAAGTGACCAAGAACAATAAAGGGTTGCAACCCTCTCCCTTCACTTCCTCTTCTAAGTCAGCTCAGTGGGCAGAGTTATCTCAGCCCTTAACTGCTCATGGCCCCATCCTGTTCCACCTAACATCTGAGTTGGTTGTGAGGTGCCCCTGCAATTCACGTTTGATGTGTGGGACACCCGCCGGGGCCTGCACACGGCAGCCTGAGGGCTCCTGTGAAAATATCCCCCCTGCCTCTCCTGGGCTCACTTCTGCGGTCACCATCCAACAGCAGACCATTGCCCAGGCCTGGCCAGCGCCAGGGGCCTCCCCCTCAGGGCCACAGGGCATTCTCTCACATCCTCCAGGGCACTGCCCTTGACCCCCAGGACCCTCTCACCTGTTCTTCCCCTCCACAGCATCCCCCAAACCTGGGTAAGACCTGACTGCCAAGGAGCCTTCCGGACCCCCCAGATGAGGCTGAGCATCCTGAAGGCCCCTCTCCCGCCCTGCCTCCCTTTCAGGAACGTAGCACTGCTGTCATGAATTTGTCTTATTTTAAAAAATATTTTTATTGATTTCAGAGAGGAAGGGAGAGACAGAGGGAGATAGAAATATCACTGACAAGAGGAACTCATTGATCAGCTGCCTCCTGCACGCCCCCTACCTCAGATCAAGCCTGCAACCCGGGCAGGTGCCCTGACCAGGAATGGAAATGATAGTGGAGAAGAGCACGTAAGAAGAATAGAGCCACAGTTGTTTAAGAATGATTCACCTTGCGAGCTACAGATAAGAAGGTTTCTTACAGACCTGAGGAAACTGGAGGATGTGTGGCAAGAAGAAAACAGCTGTAAAAAGATAAGAGACACCTGGGGCCCTCGAGTTTGCCTCAGGAATGCTGACCATTCTCTGTCCCAGGAAATGGCAAGCTGTTTAAATACTACTGAAAATTAACTACCTTGTTATTGGACTTCAAGATCCTGGAAGAAGACACACAGACACACAGACCCCGGGCCCTGCAGCCATGTCCTCCCCTCCCCATCACCATCCCCCTTGCATGCAGCCTTTCTTCCTTATTCCTATACTAGAGGCCCGATGCACAAAATTCGTGCAAGAGTAGGCCTTCCTTCCCCCGGCTGCCGGCACCAGCTTCCCTCTGGCACCTGGGACCTGGGCTTCCCTCTAGCCACCAGCAGGAACCCAGGACCCAGACTTCCCTCGCAACCCCAGCTTTGTCTGGAAGGTCGTCCGGAAGGACGTCCAGTCTAATTAGCATATTAAGCTTTTGTTATTATAGATAATCAGCCAGCTCCTAGGAGGTGGGAGAGCAGATTTTCGCGGATGACCTGCTGCTTCCCCTAGTGTCGGCGTATGTGAGCGTTACTGGAATAAATGCTCACATAGGAATCAACTCTGTCTCTGCTTAATTGGCTCAGGTAGTAACAGGCAGCCCGGACCCATGGATTGTCAGGTTTCAGAACTGTGACCTCCTGGTTCATAGGTCAACATGCAACCACTGAGCCACACTGGCCAGGCATGAATTCATTTTGTGTAATGTCTGTCCTCCCTGCTGGGTGGGGGTGCTGTGGCCAAGGGGCCCTCCTTTCCTGCTTGTCCCAGTGCCACCCAGAGGTTTCTTGGCAAAAGTGAGTGTTATGGCTGGGGACACACAAATAAAGGGCTGGGGCCACCTGGGGACGTAGGAGCCCATGTCCCTTTCTCCTCCCTTCCCCTTCATGGCCCTCCCCAGCTCTCTGCTCTCAGTGGCTTGCCACCCCACTGTCCTGTGTCCTCTTCCTGTCCTGCTTGTGCACCCCGGTTTCCCTCTTCTGCTTCCTCCCCACCCCCTCTCTTAACTAGCTCCAACCCAGAGGCATTCTTTAAATATGCATCTCGAATATGGAATCACATTGCAGATTACTATCTAAGAAGGCAGCCCGTGCTGACATTTCTTGCAAAGGCGCAGTCAGCTCGGTGGCACTAGTTAGATGTTGGTGTGCCTGGTGCATTCGTCCCTGTGGCTCCTCAGACGACAGGCTCCCCACCTGAGGAGACCCTGGCAGCCCAGGCCATCCTGCCTCATCGCAGGCGAGTGGCCTCCCGCTGTTATTTCTGTAGCAGGAGCCCCCAGGTGTTTGAGTTTTAAAAAGTAAGCCGGATTCAGCCTGGTTAAGGAAACCCTTGTGAGGCAGAGGGACAAGGCAGCTGGAACTAACACAGCTGCCCCCATCCCCTGGCAGTGGGCCCACCCACAGGCCACCCTGTGTGTGCGACCACTGGTGTGAGCTCAAGCCTTCGGTCCTGAGAGCACACAGGCCCCCTGGGATTGGAGAGGGAGGGCCCTGCAGGCCGTCCTTCGTTGAGGTGGAGGGGAGCACTGACCGGCTGTGTGAACCCTGTGGTGTGTCTAGCCATGTGCCCAGCCCAGGACCAGGCACCAGGGCCTTGGAGATGCATAAGACATAGTCCTCTGGAGAGAGTCCTGCGAGGCCCACGACCACAGTTTTGGATCCCTGGAGGTGGCCCCCATATGCCTCATAAAGTGCAGATGATGCCGCCGTGGGGACGTGGAGAGCAAATGTCACACAGGCCAGCCATGGGGACAGCTCAGCTTGGGGTCCTGCACTGCCCAGCCCAGCCCCAGGGGAGCCAGCTGGAAAAGGCTGGGTCCTGTCCCGGGAGGAGGGAGGTGGAGCAGAGGTCAGCAGAGCCAGCAGCATCCCGGGCACGGAGGAGGCTGCGCTGCCCTCTGGAGCCTGGCCTGGGTCTCCAGTCTCAGGCTTCTGGGGCTTGAGCTCAGAGGTTCCCAGAACATGTCCGTCCCCGGGTCCCAGGATGCCTGCTCTGCTCCAGCTCCCAAGACCCAGCTCAGTGGCCACCTCCCTAAGAAAGCCTCTCCCCACCCTGGGTCCTGGGAGACCCCTGCCACTCCGGGCTTCTGGTTAGACCACTGACACACAGAAACTGACCAGCTGGGCCAGCCGTGCTCTCTGCCAGGAGTTTGGGAGGAGAATACAGCAGGGCAGTCAACTTCAACTGGGAGGGGGTGCAGCCAGGGCTGAGCTGTCCCTGCTGCTGGGAGCTGAGCGAGGCTCAGCCAGCGTGGGGGGACTCAGCCCTTGGGTAGGAAAGCCCGCAGGCTCCCTCCATGCCCCCATCTTGGTACATCCTGGTGTGAGGAGGCTTCTGTCCCTGCACGTGTGACCAATGGCTTGACAGCTTTGGCTGCCTCAGTGCCCACCCCCCACCCCCCGAATGCCCCCACACATACAGCTTACACCGAGCTCACGGGCCTGGAAGGACAGTCCCATGGGGGCCCGGGTGCCAGGAGGCACTGAGCAGGCTGCCTTGTCCCTGCTGCGGGCGCACCGGCCACCTGCCCGGGGTTACCTGTTCGGATCACAGGAGTCTCCGGGTGGGCACTCAGCATCCCCTTGTTGTAGAACTCACTCTTGTGATACATGTTGTTCTCGAACTGCCTCAGGGACTGCGGGGGTTTCAGCAGCTGCCAGTTCTTGTTGTCTGGGAAGTGGTCCTCGATGAACAGAGCGGGATGCGTCAGGAAGTAGAACTCATTGTAGCTGGAGCGGAGGGGAAGCTGGTCAGCAGCCGCATGGGGTGCGCAGGGGGAGGCGGGGCCTTCCAGGGGGGTCTGCGGGGCCTGCTTTGGGCTAACACACCCCCAGGAGGGGGCCTGCCTGCTCCCCAAATGGGAAGAGGCACCACCGCCAATCCTGACATGGGCGCTGGAGACGACCCCTCAGGGTCTGCTTCTCGAAACAGGAGCCAAGGCAGGATGTGAGTCCCCGTCTAAAAGGCCACAACCCACAGCTGTGCCTGGGAGAAGGGCCCCCTGTTCTCAGAGCCAGAGACTTGAAGGGAACAAAAGGCATGGCCTGCGCACCAGGCGCCAGGCAGTGGAGGGGAGGGGGCTGGGACGGAAAGTGCTCAGGGGGGCCGGCTCCATCACCCCCTGGTCTCCTTGCCTGAGCAGCTGCGCGGGGAGGAGGCCTTCTGCAGTGTCTAGGGACGACCCCATGTGGCTCTCTGGGGGTCAGCGATGGGCACCAAGAAGAGAATGGGGAGACTCATCTGAGATGGGGAGGCTCTACTTGGCCCAAAGCGAGCAGTGCCCGGAGCTGACAGAGGTGAGGAGGCATGTGAATGCACAGGTCCTGCATGTGTGTGTGTGTGTGTGTGTGTGTATGCACACGTGGGCGCACGTGCAAGATCTTGCACTTGTCCTGTATGCGGGGCTGTCAAGATTTAAACTGAAAACATCAGTGAGAGAGACAACGCTCATTTCTCTGATGGATCTGAGCTGCTGATGGACATCACAATCCACAATGAATGTCAGGGCCTTCGCTTAAGGCCAGGGTTGGCCAGAGCCTGCACTCAGTGTGGCTCAAGGACCCTGCACACCATCAGCACCCCTTCCTGCATTCAGCCCAGAGAGGAGGAGACCGACCTGGTGTCTAGGGAGCAGCAGGAGAGGGTGCGGGTATCTGCATCATGATACAGTCAATGGCCCAGGGAACCCATGGGGAGTTAAAGAAGGTTCCCAGCCCCGCCTTTCCTCATATGTGGCCCGCGGGCAAAGGCTGGAGGCTTTTAGCTCTCGGGTGGAGGGAGTAATAGGGAGCCAGAGGAGTTCTGCCTTGTGCACCCCGTCAGTTCTGGGCCCTTATAATTGGTCTGGAGCTGGCTCACTTTGGGGCTCGAGGGAAGGTGGCGCAGCCAGCAGCAGGCGGAGGCCTCCCTGGCCCTCCTTCCCTCCGGCCGCCTCCTTCATCCTTGGCTCTCCCCGTATCCACCTACCAGGGTGGAGACTGGTACTCACAGGAAGGTGAACTTGGAGGTGGTGGTGTCCACCAGGCCACTGCCCCAGGTGCTGTCCAGCAGGTGCCACCTCCCTTCCAGGTACACGGCGTTCCAGGCGTGGTCAAACTCCCCCGAGAAGCTCTGCCCTGTCTGGTAGCCGAAGCCCTTGGAGTAGCCGGGCACCGTCATGCACTGCACTCCAGCGATTCTGGGGGCGACAGCGGGTCTGAGAGGCGGCTCCTGCTGGGCTGTCCCCCGCCACCCAAGTCTGACTGTCAGTGGCCCCAGGCCTCCAGTGTTTCTGCTGTCCCGGAGGCCCTCTGCGTCTCTCTTTCCTTACCTCTCACAGAGCCACACACTTACAGCCTGTGGGCTGTTACCTCCAGAGCAGGGGCCTGGACAGTCCTGCTGGTCAAGACTGGCTGTCCTCTGGCTGCCTGCTCCTCCCTCCAGACTAAATGTCTCTCCCAGAGCCTGCCTGGGTGCTCACCACAGTGAGAACCACCTCAAGGACACGGAACCAGGGACATGGTGGCCTTCTTGAACCAGAGCAGCTCTAAACGCCTGTACGACTGCGGGGCGGGGTCTAGCTGACACGGTGGGGTGTCAGGGAGGTGTGCTGGAAGCCGGGGTGCAGAAGAAAGCTCCGCCTGCTCAAGGTCCCCTTTGTGGGGACCCCTGGAGTGGGCAGCCTGAGTGTCCAGCCCTGACTCCAGGATCGTTCTGGTCCAACTGACAGGCCACAGCATGCATTAAGGTCATGACTGCTGTGGCCACAGGTTTGAAGTCCCCCACAGTTGTCCTTGGGGACGTAGAACGCTGATGGGTCTTTCCAAGCTCTTGGGCCCCTTTGGTAGAGCAGCCCCCGGCGCTCACAACTGAGCTGCTGACACTTTCTGGGGCCTGGACAGTGGGGCCTGGGTGCTGGCCACGTCTGGGAACCTCGGTGATCACTGGAAGCTCCAGTGTGGGTGTCTATAGCTGAAGTCCTGAGGCCCAGATCTGAGTGTTGGGGACCACCCCAAGGCCAAGCCAGAACCGGAGAGTCCTGGGATGGTTGGCAGCCTTCCTCTTCAGTACCCCAGCCCCCCAAATGGCAGCCGAGGGGGTGGACTGCTAGTCTGACTGGGGGGCACCTGTGCTAGCCCTCTGGGGCTTTTGTGTGAATTAGAAAACGTTGCCTCTTCTTTGAGACACTGTCCTTTCGCTTGTGGAAATCGGGCATAATAAATCCACAAATCCACGCTACCCGTGGGTGCATGTGGCCCCTCAGATGGGCTCCTTGGAGCACACAGGCTGCCCACAGCGCTGACCTGGTGACCTGACTCTGCACTCCGGGGGTCACCAGGCCTGGTTCAGGGGGGACGCTCTGGTGACGGGGTCCATCCATGGACCAGGCCCACAGCCTCAGTTGCTCTAAGCAAAAGTGCCATGGGGCCTCTCAGGTCCTGGGGTGAAACGGCCACACACTCACCATGGGAATGGGGGAAAATTTCCCTATAAAAATGAATGTTTAATGAACGCTTAGCAGAATGCTGGATTAAGTGTTACTTATCTATAACTACATATCATTTGTTGAGAGTGAGAAGCGAGGTGAGGAGCCTGCAGGTGACCACATTCCACCTGCAGGGTGCTTCACCTGCACGGGATGAGTCCTGCCCCCCGCCCTCCCAACACAGGGCACAGGCCGCTCTGCTGGGGCTCTTGATGGGCTTGGCTGTCCCGCAGCCCCCACTTCTGCTGCAACCTCACAGGGAACAGACCAGCTGGGCCCTGTCGGAGGATTTTGGGAGCACGTGGGGGACGGGGGCAGAAAGCAAGAGACACTGGGTCCTGATGTTTAGATTTCCTGCTGGTAAAGATCAAAACCGACTCTCAGAGCAGCAGGGCGGCTCAGAGGTTGGAGGCCCAGGAGGCAGGGCTGGGAGGGCCCATAGGAAGGGAGAGGGCAGCATGCACACCTGCAGAGCCCCTGCCTCACCTCGCTGCAGAGGAGGGACCTGCAGGGCCGCGGGGTCCAGGGGGCTTGTTCCCAGGATGAGGAGATCTGAACAGTTCATAGTTTTAGAGCAAACTGCCAACAAGAGGGGAGGTCAAAGCAAGGCCAGAGGGGTGGGAAGGAGGTCTGGGTGGGGGTTGGGCCTCTACTGGAGGGCTCCACATTCTCCGAGAGGGGGGAGGAGGAGAAATGCTGTGAAGAACATTTAGTGAGGTAAGGAATGCTCCTGAAGCAGTGCTAATTGACAGGAGCCCATAAAACTCTGCCCTCAGCACATTGTGTGTGAGAATGTGTGTGAGTGCGGGTGTGAGTGAGTGTGTGCCCACATTCATGGAGGATGAGAGACAGAGGGGGAGGGCAGAGAGAGAAACAGTGCAAAAGTCCCCTGGGATTCTGGGGGATTTAAATTTTCTTCTTTGAACTTCTCTATATTTTCTAAATTTTCAGCAGTGATTATGTGTTACTTTTGGAATTGGAAAAAATGCATACATCCTACTTGAAATTACTTTCTTCAGTGAGTTATTTTCCTTTCTTGCCCAGATGTCTGTGCATATCGATTCTGAGTACATGTGGAGGGAGAAGGGAGCCGGCCTGTTCGCAGGGAGAGGCACTGAGTGGAGCTGCCCCTCGTACACCTGCCCGCGGATGCTCATCCGCTCAGAGCCACCTGGACACCTAGCATCAGGAAGGGAGGAGGCTCCACAGTGAAATGGAGCTGGTGCTGATGCGGGCAGCATGGCCGGTTCAAACTCGGCCTGAGGGTCCTCCTAGGTGATGCCGTGTCCCTGGGCTGTGTGCCATCGGGGACCCTCCCATGGAGCAGATGGAGTGGGGGTAAGATTTGAGAACCTGCCCAGGCTTGGGGTGCTCCAGACTGGAGTGGGCGGTCACTGGGCTGAGTCAGGAGACCCTAGCTCTACCCCCAGCTCCCATGGTCACCTCCAGTGTGACCTTGCCAGGCTTATCACAGCAAAAAGAAAAGCTGGCATTCAATGATCTCTGACAGGCCGAGGAGAAGATGGGAGGGCCGTGGGGAATGCCCGGGGCAGAGTAAAGATGAAAAAGGAAACTCAGCTCTAAGCTTATGCCATGCTTGACTATGATATGAGGGTATTTTATTACCTGGCAGCAATGTGCCAGATGATTTGGACAAAGCAGTCCTCATGTAAAGCATTATTGTTCATATTCCATGATTCTCGTGCCAAATTGTGGAACTAGTGATTCCAGCTGCTGGTAGCTAGTCAGGATGACCCATGGCCATTTCATGCCATCAAGAGATTGCTGATGCATACACTCTGGGCCAAGCACTGCACCAGGCACCAGGGAATTACTATCATATATATCATATCATATCATATCATATCATATCATATCCTACAATATAGTAAAATGTAATATTCCAAACATTAAGCTCACTGGCTGCCCTGGAAGTGCTCATAGTTGGAAGTTGGAAGGGGGCAGGTAGGTGAACCGACACTGAAATGCTAGTGATAAACAAAGCCCCGGGACACCAAAGGAGTAGGGATTGCTGTATGGAGCTGGCAGGGTTTTAACATTGGCGATAATGAGAAACCCCCTAAGAGTCCATCCCTTCCGCATAGACCGCCTAAACCATCCGAGGAGATCTGGTTACTACT